GGGAGGTCTGAGGTCTTCTGCCAGCCTTCAGTAGGTGTTCTGTAGGAGTTGTTCCACGTGTAGATGTATTTCTGGTGTATCCATGGGGAGGAAGGCGATCTCCGCGTCTTACTCTTCCGCCATCTTCCCAACTCTCCCCCTCTTCCACTTTTAAGGACCTTTATGATCGCATTGAGCCCAGGTGCATAATCCAGGCCAGCTGATTGGCAACCTTAATTCCCCTTGGCCGTGAAAGGTAACACAGTCACAAGTTCCAGAGGTTAGTACGTGGACATCTTTGAGGGGCTGTTATCCTCAAAAAGGATAAAGCTTTCTGTTTACCTATTTAAATACATCATCTTCTTTCTAGTCTTTGTAATCTCCACCACTGGAGAAGCAAAATGCTCCCTTCTTAAATATAATGTGTTCTTCTATCATGACTTACTTATGAATCCTAATTTCATTGCTTTCATGATGGAGCAATTTTGTGAAAAAAAATTGGCTTTAATAGCAAACAAATTGGGTACAACTGATAACAGTCTCATCTGGTTATCTGTATGTTTAGTTCCCATTTACTATTTTTATTTATTTTCTCCAATCCATCTCAGGTTTTTTACAAAATCCAGTGTTGATTCAGTGTTTACAGTTGTGTAGAGTGCCTCCCGTCATTCTTTCATCTTTGAAAAATCCACAATTCAGCAACTACATTTTTGCAGTGTCCAAACCTCAGCAGACTGTAACACTTTCAAATGGTACACGGTGTTCTGACATGGAGCATTTCACCTGAATATGTGGGCGTGTCCACTCTTTCTCTTATTATGACTCAAAGGAGTGTATAATAAAGAAAAACTTGTAGGCAGGTGAAAACAAGTCCCTTAAGTATAAGCAAAGCATATGTTTTGCTTAACAAATGTACCTTTCTTGAACGTTATAATGGACGGGAATGAGTTCTGATGAGCCATGCCTCCTGGAAGCAGCCGTTTTGTGACACACACCATCTGTGAAAAGAGCATGTGCAGAGTCTGCTTGGTCAACTGTGTGGGAGTCCCAAGACCACCCTCAGGCTCAGTGATTCGCTGGAAGGACTCACAGGACTCAAGAGCTCATGGTCTATCCCAGTGAAAGGATACAGATCAAAGTCATCAAGGGCAAAATGCACATGGAGCGCAGTCCAGGAAAATCCAGCCCCAAGCTTCTAGGAGACCCTTCCCACTGGAATCATACAGGGACACACTTAGTTCTCCCAGAAATGATGTGTGACAACAGGTGCAAGGTATTACCAACCAGAGAAGCTCACCTGAGCCTTGGTATCCAGGGTTTTTACTGGAATTCAATCACATGGCAATTATAGCATCTGCATGATTGATCTTAGCTACGCAGACTCAGGGCCCAAGAGGTTAAGCTGACCCAACATGGCCCAGGGTCTCAGGCACAGAAACACTCTGGTGAAGCAGGATATTTCAGGGGCTCAGTGGTATCTTCTGGGAGCCAGCCAAGGGCCAGTCCATCTGAAGACAGGCCTTTCTTTGGAATGTGCAGGGTTTGGACAGCCCCGGTCTGCTGCGTTGCCCCTTGACTGCCCACCAGGAGATAGTGTTATGTGACCATTATTTTTTTGTCTTTTTTCAGCTTTATTGGGGTATAATTGGCAAATAAAATGATAAGATATTTAAAGCACACACCATGATAATTTGATATACGTATACATGATGAAAAGATTCCCACCATCTAGTTAATTGACGCATCCATCTCCTTGCCCTTTGCCTTTTGTGTGAGAACATTTAAGTTCTCTCCTCTTCGAAAATTTCAACCATACAATACAGCATTATTAACAAGAGTCACCATGTTACGCAGTAGATTCTCAGACTTTTTCATCTTATAGCTGCAAGTTTGTACCTTTTTACCAAACTCTCCCTATCTGCCCCCCAGCCCGTGCTGGAAACCACTTTTCTGCATTACATATGTAATATTCAAAGAATATAGAAGTATATAAAATAAAAAGGGGCTTCTCCCCCTATACCTCGAGCCCCTCAAATCCCCTTCTTGAAATAACCAAAGTTATATCTTGGAATATATCCTTCCAAGAACCTTTTCTAAGCATATATAAACATTATATATATATATATACATACACAGACACATATACATACACACACACATAGTTTTAGGATTTCTTTTTTTAATGGGGTCCTACTGCATGTATTGTTCTTCAGCTAACTTTTTACTTATATCTTTCTCATGGCCACCTATAGCGCTCTCTCATTCTTTTTTTGTGTGTGTGTGGTACACGGGCCTCTCACTGCTGTGGCCTCTCCCATTGCGGAGCACAGGCTCCAGACGTGCAGGCCCAGCGGCCATGGCTCACGGGCTCAGCCACCCCGCGGCATGTGGGATCTTCCCGGACCGGGGCATGAACCCGTGTCCCCTGCATCGGCAGGCAGACTCTCAACCACTGCGCCACCAGGGAAGCCCTCTCATTCTTTTTAAAGGTTGTATTTCATACTGTTGATAAAATAATTTATGTTCTCCCACTGCTGAGCATTTTGGTTACTTCCCATTTTTTGTTTTCTTTTTTTTTAAATTTTTATTTATTTTATTTATTTATTTTTGGCTGCGTTGGGTCTTCGTTGCAGCGCACGGGCTTTCCCTAGTTGCGGCGAGCAGAGGCTGCTCTTCGTTGCAGTGCGCGGGCTTCTCATTGCGGTGGCTTCTCTTGTTGTGGAGCACGGGCTCTAGGCATGCGGGCTTCAGTAGTTGTGGCACGTGGGCTCAGTAGTTGCGACTTGTGGGCTGTAGAACACAGGCTCAGTAGTTGTGGTGCACAGGCTTAGTTGCTCCGCAGCATGTGGGATCTTCCTGGACCAGGGCTCGAACCTGTGTCCCCTGCATTGGCAGGCAGATTCTTAACCGCTGCGCCACCAGGGAAGCCTGGTTACTTCCCATTTTTGCCATCACAAATGATGCTGTAACAGATATCTCTGCACACACTATTTTTTTGTCATGTGATACTTTTTTTTTACCCCTAAGGTGAACTTTTTTCTTCCCCCTAAGCTGAGCTTTTGAGAAAGCATTCACCAAAAATTAAAATGTTATTAAACATGATATCTAAGAGTCCATAATCAGATAATAAGAGAGAGAATCCATAAACATTGAGGACGCATAGGATCCAGGAGGTGAAGGAGATGGTCAGTCTGGGATACACCCAGATACAAGTGCTAGGCTGCCAGGCGGCTGCCTTCCTGCTTGGGGCCAGAGGACCTGGGCTCCGACAGGCGCTGCACGCTCCATGGCCCAGGACAAGTCACTTAGCCTACCTGAATCGCATTCCCCTCATCTCTAAAACAAGGTCAGTAATCACACCTACCTCCTGGGGTCGTCATGAAGATGAAACAGAATGAGGCGATGTACAGACACACACAAAACGAGGCGATGTACAGACACATCTTCTTGCCCCATCCTGGAACCACCTTCCCAAGCACATATGGAGAGATTGTGAAATGCGTAAGGCACCAGCTGTCACCTGGGGGAGGTTTCTCTCCTGGCTTAAGATGAAGCCACGATCTGAAACATGAAGGTTCAGATTCTCCCATTTATGCTTCTTCCAGAAATAGGCAGCCTCGCGTGATGAGAGGTGGGTGGGAGCTCTACGTTGCCCTCCCACACTTTCAGTGCCGGGTGACTCTTACAAGGAAAGCAAGTGTTTATAGAAGAAACCTGCCACCATGGAAACGCTTGTCACACAATGTTATTTCTAACATCCCTTACGTTCAGTAAGGGACCTCTGTGTCTGACGACGGTGATGCCTGAAAGCCTTTACCTTGGCCACTGCTGGATCCAGGCAGATGCACTGCGTTGCTCCAGGGGTGCCATTCATAGTATCTCGAGGGAGTGGCACTCCCTAGAGTCAGGCAGAGCAGCAACCTGACTCTGCATAGTGGCTCCCTATGGGGGTGTTGCAGAGCCTTGCCCTGGCCTGTGCACTCTCGACTAGGGTACTTCCGGGGTTGTCTGCCACCCGCGAGGATGCACACTGCCATCCAGCCTACACAGACACACCTGCCACACTGCCTGTACCAAAGTATCTTAATTTTTTCTTAGTTTATTGAAGTCTAGTTGATTTACAATATTGTGTTAATTTCTGCTGTACAGTAACGTGATTCAAGTACACATATGGATACATTCTTGTTCATATTCTTTTTCATTATGGTTTACAGGATACTGAATACTGTTCCCTGCGCTCTACAGTAGGACCTGTTGTTTATCCATCCTATATATACTAGTTTGCCTCTGCTAATCCCACACTCCCAATCCATCCTCCCCCACCCGCCCTTCCCCTTGGCAACCACAAGTCTGTTCTCTATGTCTGTGAGTCTGTTTCTGTTTCGTAGATAAGTTCATTTGTGTCATATTTTAGATTCCTCATATAAGGGATATCACATGGTGTTTGTCTTTCTCTTTCTGACTTACTTCACTTAGTATGATAATCTCTAGATCCATCCATGTTGCTGCAAATGGCATTATTTCATTCTTTTTTGTGGCTGAGTAATATTCCATTGTATGTATGTACCACATCTTCTTTATCCATTCATCTGTCGATGGACGTTTAGGTTGTTTCCATGTCCTGGCTATTGTGAATAGTACTGCTATGAATATAGGGGTTCACGTCTCTTTATGAATTAGAGTTTTGTCTGGATATATGCCCAGGAGTGGGATTGCAGGATCATATATGCTAAAGTATTTTCAAGTAATTCCAGAAAATGTAAAAACCTGATCAATATAACCAGCAATATGATCACTATTTTCTTTTCTTTTCTTTTCTTTTTTCGTCATGGTGCGCAACTTGTGGGATCTCAGTTCCCCGACCAGGGATCAAACCTGGGCCCTCGGCAGTGAAAGCACGGAGTCCTAACCACTGGCTCTCCAGGGAACTCCCTCTATTTTTAATAAAATCCTTAGTATGTCCAGCTGTCATTCTATCATCATTTTAATATCTGAAAAATGTCCTTCAAATGCAGAAAAAATATCGTCGACCCAGAAGATCCCCGCTGTGCCCGGTTAACGCTCACTGGCCAGGTGGTCGCAGTGTCTCCAGAAGAAGTGGAATTTGCCAAGCAAGCCATGTTTTCAAGGTTGGTATCTGCTTTAAGATTGGTTTGCCCAGAAACATACAGTGTAAGAAGCAGAGGTCGGGGCTGTGCCATCTGATGCCTCTGAGGTGATGACAGTAATGGTCTGAGCTGTCCTTTGGTGGCAACACTGCCATCTGACGCTGAAAGTCTTGGTCGCCTGAGGTGGCAGCAGAGGCCACGCATGTGACCTCGCAGTGGACTGTCCGTGCCTTTGGAGAGCGCCCCACGCTGAGGGTTGCAGGCACTGTTCCCTGCATACTTCCAGCCTTTCACAACAGCCCTGCCTTGAAATGGAGAAAAAGGGGCCTTTGTAGTCCAGTCAATACAGCAGACATTTGCAAACGTCCACTCTAAGCAGAGCTCGGCGCCAGAAGTGACAGCAGTGTTCCTTCATGTGGGCCCCTCACCCCTTTTACAGCCGAACCACTTAGGATGCAGCTTTCGAACTGCCCCCCACCACCTGCTTCCCGAATTGGATGCTCTGGAGGTTACACTCAATCAAAAATTTAAAACGACATCCCAGGAAATCGGCATGCATGCTGCTAGGGTCAAAATGAGTGACAGAGGAGCCCCGGGAAGCGGGGGAGGAGATCAGCGTTTGCAAAAAGTGAGAAGGGTGGTCCTGCAGGGATGCTGGAGTCTGTCTCCATGGGTGAGGAGAGGATCTGTGCAGGGGGAGGCCTGAGGTGGAAGGTCAGAGCTGGAGTGAGGAGGGGCGCGTACCCACATGGGGTGTGGGCAACAAAAGCCGGCAGATTGGTACCTGTCTAAGTTAGTGGGAGAGTAACATGAAAGCAGGTGGTAAATTGGACAAGCCATCCGCATCCCTGTGGAGATGGGATGATTGTACATACAGGGGAATCATGAAATAAGTAAACATACAGCAAGTCCCCTACATACGAACGAGTTCCCTTCCGAGAGTGCGATCCTAAGTCCAATTTGTTTGTTAAGTCCGACACGGTTAGCCCAGGTACCCAACTAATACAATTGGCTCTACAGTACTGTACTGTAATAGGTTCATAATACTTTTCACACAAATAATACATAAAAAACAGACACACACAAAAATAAAACATGTTTAATCTCACAGTACAGCAGCTGGCATCCAGGGGCCTGCATCGAGGGAACAGGCAAGAAGAGTTACTGACGGGAGGAGGGAGAGGAGGTGGGAGATGGTAGAGCTGAAGGATCTCCAGCAACAGGAGACGGGGGCGGGGGGGGGGGCAAGCTGCCATTTCACTCACGCCCGACGCTGATGGCACAGGTTCTGGTTCCCTGCTGGATTCAATTGTTCACATCTTTGAAAGTTCACAACTTGAAGGTTCGTATGTAGGGGACTTAGTGTAGTAATAAGTGAACACAGAGAGAGGAAGCCTGGTTTCTCACCGCCATGGAAGAGAGTTAGCAACACGCACAGGAGGATACTAGATCAGCCTGGAATTGGATCCACCCACACGGACTTGTGGTTTTCAATATACAGACAGAGAGATAAATGGAGATGCGTGTGTCTGTGTGCTTGTGCGCTCTGTTTTCCACCTCAGCTGTCAGTCTTTAGTTCTCATTTCTCCTCTTCCACGTTATGATGGGCAGTGAGATGAAGTCAAGGCTGCAGGAGACATTTGCGTTCATTAAGTTCGTTTCCTATTTTCCACATTACCGCAGGTAACAGTGTTACCAGAATTTCCACTAGTGGATAATGTGGGTCCCTTTACCACGCGCATCCAACCACCTTGTCTTTACCTTCTTTAAACACTCATGGTCAGTCTCCTACGGTCCTTCCAGCATCCTACTGCCTGGACCCCAAGCCAGGGCCTCACGGACTAGAATTTGCTGTACCTACGTTCCCCTTGCAGGGGCCAAAATTTATTCCGGTTATAAATACAAAACTAGTTGGCTTAAAATAACAACAATCATGTTATCATCTCAGCTGCATGAGTGTTTGGAGTGTTGGGGCCTCAGATCAGCAACTTACTTTCAAATGGTTTAGAAAAAAAAAAAAAAAGTTCTTTATACCGTACTTTCAACCTCTCTGTCAATTTGCAATGATTCCCAAAAAAAAAAATTTTTTTTTTAAAAAAGGCATCAACCTATCACTGCACTGGCATTGTTGCAAATGTTTTTCCCAGTTTACACTTGGTCTTTGAATTTTGTTTATAACATTTTTAGATGTAAATAAAACGTCTATTTTTATGAAGTTTTAAAAAAGTGAGCGCCAGACCCTGCCCTCAAGGAGGATGCATGTTTTTAGGCCTACGCCTGAGGGAGAAGGCAAGTCAGAAACAGAGGGCGGAATGTGAGGGCTGTTCCCTGTCTACGCTGGCTGGTTCTCAGCTTGTTGCAACAGTTGTAGGCCTCTACAGGAATGGAAATCTTCCCGTGAACAGATTCGTTTCCCGGACTTAAAATTCAGCATTTCGCATAGAGGTGCTTAGAGCCTTTCGTGATGCTTCCTGGTAACAGTGGCCCCCGTCCCCTGGGCACGTCCTCTATGCAGGTGCTTTATGTGTCTCATCATTTGCTCCCCACACAGCCCTGTGATCTGACCACCATCCCTCTCGCCCCACGTGACTGGGAAGGAGACCGGGCAGGCTTAAGAGAGCAGACGGCCCATGAGGCATCCCAGCAGCTGAACTGGAGTTCGAACAAAGTTGCCTGGCTCAAGACTTGAGCTGTCTGCCCCTCTGTGGTGACAACAGTTTCCTGCCCTCCTAAGGCTGCCCCAGACCTTGACCCTGGCTCCCTGGCTTCTGCCTCTAGCTGGTTTGAGCAGGTCTCAGCCTAAACACAGCCTGGCGTCTGGAGGGCCCTATGACCTGACCAAGGATACATCTGGCACTGTGCTCTGGAGAGCCCGCCCTCTGATGAGAGCAGCTTTAATGTGACGTCTTTATTTCTGCAGACACCCAGTTATGAGGAAGTGGCCTCGTCAGTATGAATGGTTCTTTATGAAGATGAAGATAGAACATATCTGGCTTCAGAAATGGTATGGAGGAGTAGCTGACGTTTCCAGGGAGGAATATTTCAAAGCAGTTCCAAGAAAGGCCTGATGGAGTGAGAAGAAGGTCCTTGGTGTTTGCGTAAAATGAAAACCTTTTGAGCGGTGCTGCCAGACAGTCATTGACTGCCGTCTCTTTGAGAAAGGGTTCATCGCAGCCCTGTCAATCTCTCAGCAGAGCGAGAGTGGGTCACCAGGGACCCCTGTGCTAGCTGGAGATTGGAGTGGCCATTTGCAAAGGGCCAGATCACACAGGGACTTCACATAGAGAGTCTGTTTACATGTGTTCAGTCCAGACTCACCTATGTGGGATCACTGTTGGTTGTCAAAGTGACATGTTGAGACAGCTGCTGTTCCATTCTTTAAGATAAAAAAAAAAAAACCCTATGCCTGTATGTACAATGTGATTGCTTTGTATCGTGAGAGTATGTTTGTTGCTTGTTGTACCCAAAGCAGTGTCCTGGTTCCAAGCTCATTGCAACCACAGAAGAACTAAATACGCATCACACAGCTGCCGTCTTGTGTTTAGGGTGAGGGTGCAGGACTCTTTGTCTATGGGTTACCATCCTGCTACAGAATGGCAAATGCATTATTGAGCCCCGTTTGCTAGAATGTACTGGTCACTCATGAAGCTTTTTTCCCACTGCAACATGACAAACCATGTGAGAACCCCCCGAGTTTGGTGCACAGCCCTATTCTAGGTAATCGGGCCATGGTGGTACATTAAGGGAGGGGCAGCTTCGGCAACAGGCTCCCCAGATCCCCTCTGCTAGTGCTGGGATAGAGGGTCCCCTTCTCTTAGGCATGGGGAGTGGTACTCAGTCTGTGGTATAGAGAGAAGAGGGGGACAGGGAGAGGCTGGAAAGGAAGCAAAGGCAACGTATAAGAAAAGGAAGGAAAGAAGTAAGTAACTGGAGGCACGCTCCCTACGCAGCCATGGGCCAGGCCCTTGACGGGGTCATCTCACTGAAGCCTTACAGCCAATGAGATGAATCATCATTGCCACTTACAGACAAGAACACTGAGGCTCAGAGAGGCTAAGTCAACATCCCAGGGTCTGATTCCACCACTCACCACACACAAGGGAGAGAGCGGTACCTAGACAATTTCCAAGTCTAAGAACAAGACAAAAGAGTTACTGGTAGTCATTGAATCAGTAAAATCAGTAAAGCGATGACTAACCTGCCTGTAGATTGGCCACTGTTTTCTACCAAAAAAGAAAACAAGCCTCTGAAATTTGATTCTTATTACAGATTTTAAATTTTCTACAAATTGTATGCAGGAGCACCTGCGTTGTACCTGTGTATATACCTAAGGCCTACAAGGACCTATGTGTATACTTCCAAGACCTCTTACATTGAAATTTATAAAGGATCTATCTAGCACTACCCAGTTTTCTGCCTTTTTATATGTCTCTAAACCCTCTTTGGTCAGTTAGGTATGTTGTATAAATATAAAACTACAATACACAAAATATAGGAAATATACATTTAAAAAATAAATAATAGTGTTATTAATGGTTACACTTTTGTTTAAAAAATTAAGACACGAAGAGAGTTTGAGTTGTCCAAATATTTTTCAGTGCCTGTTACTAAAAGCATAGTAAGATGCACAGAATTCTTTATTTATCAAAAGTCAAATCACGAGAGTGTTCCTTAACAATAGCAATTTCTAATATATAAGAATAAGGTGACTTTGAGGGTATTTCATATTTTCAGAGTCTAAAATTGTTGCTACCCCCATTTAGAGGTAAGAGGGGAAAACTCTCAACCTCAAATTGTAATTCTCTGAACGCAATTGTAATTCTCTGAACGTCTCTGTGTCCAAGTCCCGTCTGAAAGGTAATTTTCCTAACGCTAGTTTTGCTTTTACAGTCAGGTTTCACTTAGCTTGTTAAAGCTCACTCAGCTGCCTCAAGGAGTTTTGCAGCTTAACCACTGATGACGGTTATCAGTTATTTATCCAAATTACAGGGAATGGAATCTGAACAGGTTGGATGATAAGAAGAGTGTTGAAAAGGCATCTGCTTGAAAGGGAACCCTCTTGCACTGTTGGTGGGAATGTAAATTGATACAGCCACTATGGAGAACAGTATGGAGGTTCCTTAAAAAACTAAAAATAGAATTACCATATGACCCAGCAATCCCACTACTGGGCGTATACCCAGAGAAAGCCATAGTTCAAAAAGACACGTGCACCCCAATGTTCAATGCAGCACTATTTACAATAGCCAGGTCATGGAAGAAACCTAAATGCCCATCAACAGACGAATGGATAAAGAAGATGTGGTACATATATACAATGGAATATTACTCAGCCATAAAAAGAAACGAAATTGGGTCATTTGTAGAGACGTAGATGGATCTAGAGACTGTCATACAGAGTGAAGCAAGTCAGAAAGAGAAAAACAAATGTCATATATTAGCGCATATGTGTGGAACCTAGAAAAATGATATAGATGAACCGGTTTGCAGGGCAGAAATAGAGACACAGATGTAGAGAACAAACGTATGGACACCGAGGGAGGAAAGTGGGGGTGTGTGTGTGCTGAATTGGGAGATTGGGATTGACATATATACACTAATATGTATAAAATAGGTAACTAATTTAAAAGAATCTAATTTAAAATAGATATCTATAAAATAGATAACTAATAAGAACCTGCTGTATAAAAAATAAATAAAATAAAATTCAAACAAAAAGAAGCAAAAAAAAAAAAAGAAAAGGCATCTGTTTGAGAATAATGGACCCCATTCAGGCCAGTAAGTTTTAGCAAATCTCTAGAAATTTACATTGATTAAAATTTTAAAGGCTGTATTGGAAGTTCTGGACATGGCAATAAGGCAATAAAAAGAAATAAAACGCATATGATTGAAAAGTAATAAAAGTATCCCTATTTACAGATGATGTAACTGTCTACATAGAAAATTCCAAAAAATCTATTTAAAAAAAAAAAAAGTAAAACAACTGATTTCAGCAAGGTCTTAGGATATAAGATCACACAAAATTTAATCACATTTCTATATATTAACAATAAACAAAGTGGAAACCAAAATTTTAAACACAATACCATTTACAATCACTCCAAAAGGAAAAAAAAAAATACTTAGGTGTAAGTTTAACAAAAATGTGTATAGGATCTATATGCTGAAAATTAAAAGATGCCAATGAAAGAAATCAAAGACCTAAATAAATGAGACATACCATGTTCATGGATTAGAGGACACAAAATAGTAAAAATGTCAGTTCTCCCCAGATTCATCTATATGTTTAATGCAGTTTCTATCAAAATCCCAGCAAGGTTTTTGTAGACATATTCAAGCTTATTCTAAAAGTTCTAAGGCACAGGCCTTGGAATAGCTAAAACTATCTTTCAAAAGAAGAATAAGTAGAAGAAACCACTCTACTCAGTATAAAGACTTATTATGTAGCTACACTAATCAAGACAGTGTGGTATTGGTGGAGGCATAGACACAAAAGATCAATGGAATAGAACAGAGAATCTAGAAATAGACCCATACAAATATGCTCAATTGATTTTTTTTTTAAGTACAAAAGTAATTCACTGGAGGGAGGATAGTCTTTTCAATAAACGTGCTGAGCAATCAGTTATCCATGGGCAAATAAAAAGAACCTCAAGCTAAATCCCATACCTTATATAAAAATTAACTCAAAATAGATCATAACGCTAAACATAAAATGTAAAACCATAACACATTTTTAAAAAAATAGAAAATCTTTGGGACCTAGGGCTAAACTAAGCAAAGACTTCTTAGACTTGACACGAAAAACCTAAAGTCCATAAAAGGAAAGTTTGATAAATTGGACTTCATCAAAATTTTAAACTCTTATTCCGCAAAAGACCATGTTAAGAGGATGAAAAGACAGGCTACGCTGGGAGGAGATACCTGCCAACAGCATATCCAACAAAGGACTACCATCTAGAATAGATGGAGAACTCTTACAACTCAACAGTTTTTTAAAAAATCCAATTAGACAATGGAGAACACGAACAAATGTCTCTCTGAAGAGGATATGGCAGATTAGCATGTGAAAAGATACTCAACATCATCAGTCATTAGGGAGCTGCAAATTAAACCCCCAATAGATGCCACGAGGCACCTACCAAAATTGCTGAAACACAGTGACAACACCAAATGTTGGCAAGAATGCAGAGCAACGGGATCAACCTATAGCTGGTGGGAAAGTAAAATGGAACAGCCACTCTGGAGAACCAACTGACAGTTTCTTATAAAACTAAACAAGCAACTGGCATAAGACCCAGCAGTTGCACTCCTGGGCATCCATCCCAGGGAGATGAAAACGTATGTTCACACAAAAACTTGCACATAAATGTTCATAGCAGCTTTATTCATAATATTCCAGATCTGTAAACAACCAGATGTCCTTTATTTTTTAAATTAATTTTTATTGGAGTATAGTTGCTTTACAGCGTTGTAGATGTCCTTTAACGGGTGACTGGTGAAACAAATTGTGTTACATCCCTGCCATGGAATACTACTCAGCAATAAAAATAATTTCCAATACAAGCAACAACTTGGATGAGTCCTCAGAGAATTATGCTGCGTGAAAAAACCCATCCCCAAAGGTTATGTCCTGTATAATTCCATTTATATAACATTTTGAAATGCAAAATTCTAGAAATGGAGAACAGATTAAGGGTCACCAGGGAGGAGGGTGGAGAAGGAGAGAGGTGGGTGTGTCTGTAAAAGGGATCCTTTATTGTGATGGAAATGTTCCCTAGCTTGTCTGTATCAATGTCAAAATCCTGGTAATGATATTGTATCATTTTGCAAGATGTTACCATTGGGGGAAAATGGGTAAAAGGCACACAGAATCTCCGTATTACTTCTTACAACCGCATGTGAATCTACAATTATCAGCAATTCTCTCAGAATGTATTATACAATTATCTCAGAGTAAAAAGTTTAACACAAACAAAAGTTAAGGCTTAGCTTAAATAAGACATTTATGCCCTCTCGTTGGTCCCTAATGAAATGAAGAACTGAGCTACGTACCAAAACCTAGCAGAATGGACATTTGTTTTCTTTAACCATTAATATATGCGTTTTTGGAAGAGAGAAGAAATTTCTTTGAAAGTTTTCAAAATGTATTCAATTTAATACTGAATACAAATTAACAAAAATTCAACAAACCTGTATAGATTTTATGTGGGACACTTAGAAGAGGCGGCTGTCTTTCAGTTTCTGGAATAAGTATGTTAAGCTACAGGTGTATGTAGGTATCCAAGTCTGTGCAGTGATTCTCCACCGATGTTCATAGCAAAGAACAGTATTTCCAGTAATCGTCCTCTAAATATTCTGGGAAGGAATTCTTCCTTTGTATCTATGAATAAGCCATATCCTAACCTCCACATTTTTATTTCCCGTGATTGTACACATGCATAGTGTTGACACAGAGAGTGTAATTCTGATGTGACTTGTTTCAATATGCCTTGTATATACTGACTCGTTATAAAAGAGTGGTTTGGGGTTGATATGTATTTCTACAGTTTTTCCAGAAAGTCTGTATTTCATATTTAATAATTTAACCATCAGATGCTGTTCTGAAAATAAACCTTCTCTAGGATAATTTATTGATGCTTATTTGATTGCTTATAACAAGTCAATTGTTATAAAATTTGAATTGTAATGAAGCTATGGTTTGTGCTATGTAATGCATGCGGAGTGTAAAATCTATTTTCGAAACTAGATATGTCTATCTAACCAAAGACTATTTCACTCCTGCTATGATTTCCCTGCTTGATTAAATAAATTTATAATATTTCTACACAGTCCTTTCATGTAATATTACAAATTGACATTATTAGATTTCTAAGAAAATAAATGCTATTACAATAAATCAGCAGTTACATTTCCAATAGAAAGAAAAGAACTAGCTGGGTGACTTGTTGATATGATTTTTTAAGGCTCTGAGTACAATGCACTTAATTTGCAGACTGGAAAATGCTGAGGTAACCACACTTTGGTGTTGCTACTCTTGGAAGTATTTGCCATTTTTAGCATAGTTGTTATTCTTCGAATTCAGGTCTACAAAAAAGCTCCTTTTGCTAATAAGAAAACATGCCACGGGGTCACACTTAAGACTGTGGCAGAACATGACGCATGCCCACAAGAGTGATCAATACTGCAGCTTCCGTAGACCCCCCCGACCAACACTCCAGCTTCTCAGAGATGGTCTTATCTTAGAGACAAGGCAGAGAGAGACCAAGCGGCCCAAATGACCCAGGACTGAGGGTCCCCGGCACACAGGACTTTCAGTAGTAAAGTCAGAAAATCCAGGGCCAGTCGAGATGGATTGGTCACCCTACCTTCACTCCACCTCACGCCCCAGGTCCTGAGCGGGTCACCTCCAGATCCGGCCCACCTTGGAAACTGTGCATTTGAATATTCAGGCACCTCCAACCTCACCTCCCTCCTTCCTGCTCCGGAGCCCTGAGCTGCTTCTCTGTCACCATCTGACTCCCTTGTTCAAGCAGGTGAGCGACAACATGGTGGGATTACAGTGGAGAGCAAAGCCCAGCCCTCAGGAAGCTTATGTTTTGTAAATAATAAGTAAACAAGCAGATTTTGAAGCCAGGTGACCTGGTCACGTCTGTGGATTCTGCTCCATCACGTCAGCCAGTATCCTCAGAATCCCCACTGTTTTCTGTTGGAACCATAGGGCATAGCCTGCCCTGGATAAATTCCGCGATCATCTCTGCAGCTGAATTGTAACAGAGAAAAGCCACCACCACGAGAATTGGTCTCACCTTACATCAGGCATCCTCATCCTTAACTGGGCCCTCCAGCTGCCCGGGGACCCCAGCATGGCTCTCCGTCCAGCTCTCTCCCACTCTCGTAAGCAGCTGTTTCCAGGACTGTCTACAGTCTTCAGCCCCTGGAGCCCACCCCTCGACCCCCTCACTCTCAGCTTAAAAAACAACCACTTCCTGGAGATCCTTGGAGCCTCCAAATGAGCGCCCCGCCAACCACAGAATTTTCTGTTCCTCTGTTCGTCCTTCTCTCCTGACACCCCCTGCTGCTGGATGATTTTTCTGGCTGCCCCGATGCAGGCGTGAGCATCCCGTTTATGGGAGGAAGAAGCCAGTGCCACGGAAGAGGGTCAGATAAGGGAGAGTTTAAGGTGTTTTGAAGAGT